TTCTGCTATCACTCCTACTAGTACTAGTACTACTACTACTACTACTACTCCTGCTGCTACTACTAGTACTAGTACTAGTACTACTACTACTACTACTACTACTATTTCTACTACTTCTACTACCTCTACTACTTCTCCTACTTCTCCTACTTCTACTTCTACCTCTACCTCTACTTCCGCTTCCGCTTCCGCTTCGACTTCTACTTCTACTTCTACTTCTACTTCTTCTTCTACTTCTACTACGACTTTTACATCTACTTCTACTTCTACTTCTACTACTTCTACGACTTCTACTACTACTGCTGGCGGTAGCAGTGGTGGTAGCAGTAGTCTTCGTCGTAAAACTAGCAGTAGTAATGGTAGCAGCAGCAGTAGCAGCAGCAGCAGCAGCAGCAGTAGCAGTAGCAGCAGTAGTCGTAGTCGTCGTCGGCGTCGTCGCCGTCACCTTCCCTCCGTTTTTGCAACCCCAATATTGGAAAGAGTTTTTCACAACATGTCGCGGGCTTGTCACACGGGAACCACATTCAGTCTGCGAAGATGTTTCTTCTAACTATCGTAGGCCAGTGCGTTATGTTTTGTGTAGTGTACCATGTGCTTTATTTGGTTTTTTGGGCTTGCCCAAGTTAGTGAGACTGTATGTGTAATTATGGGTCGGAGTCGGTTGCACTTGCGGGTTTCTGAGCTTCGCAGGTTGCGGGAGTCCTGGCGTCCTTCTTGAAGCACTCGTCGAAGACTACTTGATAATCCTAAACCTTAGTCCCTAGGCCCTGAGCCGTAAAGGTCCAGGTCATCCTCTCGTCTGCGATTATTCTCGGCACCTTCTTCCCGGCGGAGGCTTCCTCGACCCGGAACGCAAAAAAACTTCATTTGGAAGCTTGGTAGAAGGGATTGAATTCAGAAAGTTAGAGCTTACGTACATCAAGATTGTGGTGTCGTTGAAGACTGCAAGAGCGGATGATAGTCAAAGCCTAAGTCCTGCACCCTAGCTGCTCCGTCACATCGGAAAACTTGCGACCGATGGCTCTGTCCCAGAGCCGTACCGGCATATTCCAGTTGCCCCAGCTGTGAAAAGCACTCAAGCGTAAACCAGAAAGTATGTTTCCGTCCATGACATGGTGAATCGCCATATGATTTAAGAAGTAGTTCTTAACTTTATCAGGAGAGTGAAGAAGCATTGAGCCTCACTGTTTGTGGTAATGGCTCAACTTCAGGGTTTCCGGGGGGGATCTCGGAAATCGCACCCTCAGGCTCAATGCCGCCATGAATTTAAAGAGCTGAAAATTGAAATTATTGTCGAGGCGACGGAGCGTCTTGAACCTCATGTGTTGAAGTGCAGCATGCCACGCTCTGCAAAGAGGACTTATGAGTGTTGACCATTAGAATCAAAATCAACAGTCGGCACCCCCCGAGCGCTTGACAGGTCTTGCGAACTCTTTGCATCAGCATGTCTACAGTGGCACTGGGGTTGTCCTTTATCTTCGGCAACCTCCTGAAGGAAATCTTCGAAAGCGTGGTTCTGCTACTGGCGATGCACCCCTACGACGTGGGTGATCGAATACAGCTTGGTGACGGTGATACCATTAGGATATACACCGTCCAGAAGCCGCTTTTCTGAAGTGAAGTGTGCAACACTGGGCTGTGCTCACTCTGTGATAAGGGAGTTGTATTGTATGTTAACGAATCATGGTTTGTGGACTCCACAAGGATCAACATCATGACCACAGAAGTGCGCGACTTGGCCAACCACTGCATCTATCTGAAGAACAATGCCTTGTACAACGAGGTGCCCTTGCAGACAGTTTAAGCAGTGCCACAGTGCCACATGAAGAACTGCTGGTCGGAACAGAGTTGATCATGTCTCCCCACTGTCCACCTTACTATCCCCGTTAACCTCCCTAATTTGAAGGTGGGAAGACTTAAGCTCACTAATGGTATCTCCTTTCGGTCCCTCTGCTACTATCCCATAATTTTCAACCAAACCCCTATTCTAATTATTAAGGTCCTGGCTTGGGTCTGGTCCGACAGTCCGTGCAGAAACTCCGTGTTGTAGACTAAGAACTTCTCCCCTGCTTTGTTTGCCGGTTTTGTGATTCTGAGGTGGGAACTAGGCTATTTGAAGAGCCTTCGGGCAATTAGCCCTAAACCCGGAGCCTTGCCGGTCTTGTGCGTAAACCCCCAAACCCAAAACCGCGTATTTATTCGTTATGGCCCGTTTAGCCATCGAATCCATGAAGCGCATCTTAATTTCCGGAGTATTGCTCTTCGATGCTTCGAGGGAATGTACGCCTCACCTTGCGACGAAAACCAAGGGCAGGGTGTGACGTCGTCGAAGGGCCCATTCATGTCGTAATCCCTTTGCCGGGCTCTCCTTGGGGACGTTCACGGCATAGAGACGTAGGAGGAACGGGTTGACAAAGACATAGAACAAGGCTACTCCAGTATTTCATGAATCTTGGGATGATCGTAGGTTCAGGAGACCTTCTCTTGACTTGTGGCAAGTACTTTGCATTTGAGCTTTCGGTCCTGTCACGGAGATGGGACGCCGAGAATGTTACATGTCGGCGACCCCATGGGGACCCAAATCGGCAGAATGTGAGGAATAGCCCCAGCTAGCACGAATTGCTTTGCGCTGGCCGTGTCCCATGCAAGTCTGCTCTAGAAGTGTCGATTGAACAGTTGGCTGTGCAAAAGTAGGCCCGGGTTTATTTGGGGATTTTAAGGTGCACAGGCCCGGATTCGGCCTTGGCTCCCTGTGTCTGTGCATTGGGATCTGTATACTTGGGTAAGCTTCTCTATGGGCTTGCAGTGGATGGACTAACCGTTGCAGGTTTGTGTAGGTCTATTGCTCAGCTCCGGTGGGATCTTGCTTCACTCGCGGGATGTCCCAAACCTTGGAACCCTAATCCCCTACTACCCTGCAATGCGGGCTCGTCCTGGCTATGTGGGAGGGAAAAAAATTGTCTGTGGTTGCAGCCGGATTGGGAAATGAGAGACCTGAGGCCCAATCCCTTGATTCCTGGCACATAACTGAACTGTAGCTGAGCCCGAAAACCCACAGTTTTGGAACTCCTCATCATGATTTCCGTATTTATGTCCTGAAAAAGGTAGGCTATTCAACTACATGTAAACACTGCATCCTAAACCTTTTAAGCGCTAAACACCCGGAGAGATCTGGACAGGCAAGTCTCGTGAATCTCGGCCGATCTCTCAATGCTGTCGTCGAAATCGGCGTCACGTTCCAGACCTCGGAAATGTCGACGGCTGTGTCATACAGGATGCAAGCTCAAACATGGGATCTTCCCTGCTTTCAGGAACCTAGCATAGGTCAAGGGGTGCGGCAGAATAACGCCCGAACCGCCTGGTGCAACAACCCATGAAGAAGCTTGCAGGACTGATTAGCAAATTTGGTGGAGAATCCCGGCGTAGAGCATTGGCAGCAGGTGACGCCCGGTGCTGGGTTCTGTAACTAGAGTGTCTGCTGCGAAGGATCAACCAGTACGTCAACCTGTACGTCCAGGAGAATGCACATGATGCCCAGCCGCAGCAAGCCCCGCCCCTCAACCCTGTCAAGTCGAATTGTGAAACCTGCCAAATTAAGCTTGCATTCCAGCTCAGAAATCGCAAGAGAGTTCTGTGCTGCTTCGAATTAGATGCGTGGGGATTTGATTAGATATACATGCGGCATCATGCAGCCTTCTGAAAGATTAGCAAGCCGGCCGAATTCTCTGGCAGAGGCTTGGGTACCTTCCTATGTACGGAGCTTCTCTCCGGTGGAGCCTGGGACTGTGTGGTCGGGTTCGGCCAAGGTTACGAGTGTAGTGGAAGGCTTTCTGGAGCTGTGGAATGTAGCGATCTCCAGTCCCGAATGCAGACATCACCCCAGGTCGAAAGTAGAGTGTTGCGTCCGAGATGGGATGGTGTTTGGGGTGTTCGTAGCATTCATGACCTTGCATCCACCCCGGTTGCTCTTCGGTGGCACTTGTAGCTTCGCACATGCCCGAATGTAGGTGCAGGTATGTTGAATCCCCTTCTTTATCTTGCAGACGGACGCGAGAACTGCAATGGAAATAGAATCAGTAGAACTGTCTGCCAGCTTCGGAAGGCCAACCCACAGACGACATCTGAGACGTCACGACCTGGAACAGTTGTCGAACCAGCGACCACCAAAATGTTATAATAAATTCTGTTCTATTCTACTCTTTGCTGTATTCTTTAACAGCCAATGCCAATGGACATGTAAGACGGGGTGTCCTGTGCGCCAGGAGCGAGGCCGTGCCAGCTGCGATCTTGCTGGAGCTGTGACACACTGTGCAACTCTTCTTAGTAGTCTTTCGTTTATACTATACTATGCTACATCTTGATATTATACAGTACAGTGTATGGGTAGTTCTCTCCACTAGGGTCCTTTTCAGGTCCCAAAAACGTACAGCACCTTAAAAAAGGGATCCTTAAGGGGACCCGACTTTACAGGAAAACCCATGTATCATTGTAGTTCAGGCGGTAGGCTTTTGGGTTTCGGTTTATGACGGTTTCGTCACCTACAGAATTGTCCTCGGCCGTTGAGTTTGCACGTGAACCAGCAACTGCCACAGTAATCCTTTGAATCTTTAGGGATTTAGAAGGTGCGTAGGGGTGAACATTTCGGGGAGCGCAGTTTCACCCCACCACACACACCCACCCCCTCCCCCCAACCCCACCACACCCCCAGTCGTTCCTGTCGGCCATCCTGGGAAGCATTTTTTCAGGCAGACATCCATACTCCAGGTTCATTTTCAGGTCAGAGCTGGGACGCCCCGCCCAGCACTGCTTGCTTTCGGCATGAAACCCCGAGCATGGTTTAGGGACTTTGGGATTTATCAGTGTGTATACTTTGTACATACAGCACGTGCGGTGCAGGGAGTTAAGAGTTGAGGGCTTTTTGGAGACCTAGTTTTCAAGAAGTTGCACTCCGCCGAATTCACCTCCCACTTGTTTCGATGCAAACTAGCCCGTCGGTCCTCTTGAGCTTGATAGCTCTAGGGTTTTGGCTCTTTCGGCCCATGCAGAGTTCAAGCTTGTGTCAGTACTGCCCCGGAGTTCTCTGCTTGACTCCCATGTCGAAGGTACGGATCATGCACCGACAGCCCTGGCAAAACATCCGCGACATACGGCGCGACACTACAGAGCCTTGCTTGGCAAACAACTGCTCGTGCTTGGAGCTGAATGTCTAAAAGCTGTCTGATCCTGAGATGGGCTCTCCATCTTGCACATGGCCTCGTTCCAACTCACCGATTCACCTTGTTGTCCTAGCTCCAATGCGGCCATACCCGGCAACGTTTCGAGTCTTCAACAGCTCAGTCATGGTTGGGTAACGAGTACTGCCTCACTGCGGTTGCGAAATCGATAGACAAACACACACACACACATACACACACACATATATATATATATATTATATACATACACACACACATATACATACATACATACATACATGCATGCATATGTATGGATGGGCATCGCTGTCGGTAAGCTCGACACTGCCCTCCTTCCTTTTCAACCTCTCCTTTTGTATCTCTTTGCAGTGTAGCCATGTTGAGCTGGCAACAAGATTCCAAGCAGAGGGGTAGTTATTTCCCTTCTCGCAGGATGGCTGCTGATTGCTCGGCTGGTGGTTTTGGCGTGACAGTGTATGGTTGTTTGTACTTGCTGCTTGCCGAGTGAGTCCTTGTCGTAGTGGATAGGCACCTGATGGAAAGACAGAGAGATAGGCAATAGCAGTCGCGCGCTGTGTGGCTCAGTTTTATGAAGGGTTCGCATGCCTTGCTGCATTACAAGCTCTACTCCACGGGAACGTTTATGTGTTGCAGAGATGGGGCGAATCATCGTTCTGATAACCTTCTAAAAAACCAAGGTACTGACATGCAGTGTGTCAGCAGTGGCAGTAGTTTGGCAGTAGTAGGCCGGATGAGAAAGCACGTTTCGGAAGGGGTTTCGGAAAATTGGAGAGAGTTTGAGGCGTCATGCAATGCATGCGAACCCGCGAAACCCACCCCCAAAGATCAGGTCAGCCAGCTGAATGCAACATCTGAACTAAGCAGCACAAGCACAGGAGCTGATGTACAAGATCTTGGGCAGCTTGGCCTGAGGTTGGGAAGGAGTTCCCTGCGGTTGAGGAATGAGAGCACCAGAATCGGAGAAATCCAGAAGTCAGTCGACTGTCCCGCCATGCGAGGGAATAAGCCGCAGTCGACTCTCTACCATGTTCAGGTTTTTTTTTGATCTTGGAAACCCAAGCCCTGAGCTCGGGCACAAGTTCATCGAGACAATGCCCAGGCCAGCTTCACAGCTGGGGTGTCGACTTCCGCAACACGCCACAGCCGGTCCACATCGAGACCAACGTGTCGAAGGCTGAAGTTATTGTAGAATGAAAGCTTGCAAGAACCTGCAGGTCGATGAGCAGCAGCAGGATTGTGACGAGAATGAGCATGTGATGCTGCTACTGCTGATTATGACAGTCAGTACTGCACAGCCATAAGCGCTGGCGCTTGGAGCTTGGCTGAAGGGATTCAGGGCTTAGTGCATTGCAGTCCCTGCTCAAAAAAAAGTACCATGACACGGCTCTGCTGGCTATGATGTGGATGTTTCCGACGAGGGGGAGACACAGAGGGGACGCTCGCGGGGGCTTGCAGGCGGTGCCTGCCCTTCAGCCTTCCAGAAGAGAGAAAAAGGAGAGGGAAGAGTTAGACCGAGAAAGAGATACACAGACGCGGAGACACAGGGACAGAGCGAGTGTGGGGAAGAAAGAGCAAGCGAGGCAGATGGAGACCAGCGAACACTGTTCTGTCTCAATTCGTGCAAAACAAGAGGATTACGCACCGAATTTAGGCTGCAGGGGTTTGCAAGGCATCGCGAAGCTTGAAAGCAAAATCATCAACAAGCAGGAAGATCGGTACTTCACATTGATTTTGAAAGGGAGTTTCCGAAGCATGGCAAAATGTTGAACCCTCCTGATGTAAAAACCCCTAAATGACTACTTTGTGAACCCCAATATCCCGCTGCAACAGGAAGAGGCTGATGGATCCGAAAAGGTGGGCTCCACACCCAAGGTGGGTCTGGAGCTCTTGCGCTCTTCGCGCCTGAGCCATGTTTAGGGGATACTATAGGGCTAGTTCTGGGGGGCTTAGATTCATTAGACAACGGATCCTCAGTACCGGACAAGAAAGTCTTAAGAACGATAACATGCGCGACACGTCAAGGCATCTGCTTGTAATCTGGATCAACCCTTCGGAGCTGGCTTTTGGGTTCTGATAAGGCATGTGCTGGCCATGTCTGAAGCCATCTGCCTGGCAGTTAAGTAATACTCCCGCCCATCAGAATGCGAACCCGATCTATTCAGTTATTCAGTCAGTTCGATGGACATCGAGGTCGCAGGATTTATCCTACTCCTCCGGAGTGTCGCCGGCATATTGGGCGCGGCTGACGACGGGGCGCTAGCTCGGGGTCCCGCCGGCGAGGTGGTGCCCCTGCCCTATCAACTTTTGAAAGTGTTTTAAGCGGGGTAGCCGTCCGCTCAAAGAGCGCGTGGCCGCCACAGTTTTCTTTACATTCGCTCTGCCGAGCAAGGGTTTAATTCTGGATTGCACAGATTCCGCAAGATGAGGACAGTTCCGGCGCATGCTTGTCGGACTACACGCCTTAATTTGGAAGTCCAGCAAACCTTGAGTTCGACGCCTTCCCATCGCAGCAGCTGCGGTGTTTGTGTTTGTGCATCAGGTTTGCAGCAGGGCCTCAAGTTCGAGAAGCAACTGTGGTGGTTTTGGGCCTATGTCAGATCCTCAGGGACATACCTTCGGCTCGAACGAACCCTAAAGCCTCAAGCCCCCAACCGTCACCTCGACGATCGGCCTAAAGTGGATCTCCAAGAAGGTGGCATGCGAGTTAAATAGGTGATCATAGCCACTTCGATGTCAGTCATATATAGTTTAATCCACGGACACTTATGTCGCAGCCCTTTAGATCATGCAAAGGCACTTTTCGTTTCAGGCCTCAGCAGTGGTGATGAGCGCCATCAGCTTTGCAGGCAGGCGGTGCACCTGAAGGGCCTGAAGCGCAACACCAACACCAACCTGTGAACCGTGAACACCCAACTTCAATACAAAGTACGGGTTAGGCCCCTGGTCAGCAGAGAGTTTGTCCATGCCTGTGGGCCAGAGCCGAAGTCAGAAGCAACGGCATACAACCAGGCCTTCAAGCCAGACCCTTTAGCTCTTTAGCGCAAATGCTGTTGAGGTACAACATGTCTTAAGGCTGCTAGTGTTGCTACATGTTATGATTAGTAGCTAGAACCCTTCTGTCGAAAGCCTGTCGCGCAACTTCAAAAAGCCATGACTCTAATGACTGCGATGGAAACCAGTTGGCAAAGGAAGCTTCAGCCCATCGCAGACCTCAACTCACCTCGCACCCGCTCGCTCCCCACCTCTCACCAACTCAGAAGCAAGGGGGTCTAGGTGAGGACTTAGGGGCTGGGATCTGAATTTATAGAACTTGAAAGCTCAAAAAGCCCTCGCCCAGATACCCCAGACCCTAAAGCCAAGCCTGCGGTGCGACTTTGTCCGCTGCGCGGGGTGGGAGGAAATAAGCCCAGCCTGGTGCAGGTGTTGGGCTCCTGGTCTTCCTCCAGATCCCACGGTCTCCCGCAGCGATTCGTTACTGATGCAATGATGCAGTAGAAGAGTCAGGTACGAAAGTAGACGATCATGTGCTACATAGAGCTCAATGGAGCTCTGTGTTCTGAATTTGGGCTACTTGATTGAAGAGTATAACTCAGCACAACCCTGGTCTTCCTTAGAGCGTCGGGGCTGTGGCCTTTGGGAATGGGATCGGATTCCGTCCATGCTTTCGGGTTCCGGGTTGGGTGCTGCTTTTGTGGGTTTTATTGTCCAAAGTTGTTGCCGTCTGCTAGAGGGCTTTGAAGGGGCTTATAGCTTTAGGTTCGTTTTGGCACTACTTGTGTGAAGAGGACGGGCTGAATCAAGCAAATGTACTCTTGAGTCGGTACGAGACGCTGGGAGCACAGTGAATGACAGTGGCACAGCCCAAGCATGTGTAAAGGGGCGTTGGTGTTTTTTTCGGGATTTTTCATATCTAGTTCTGGCCCAGGCCATCTCGGTAAGTTCCCCCATCCGCAACTTCCGAAACCGACCAACAATAGACTTTCTTCACTGAGCCCGAAACCCGCAACCCCAAATCCGAAGTGGAGCCTCAGGTTGGGGGCGGTCGTGGAGTACAGCTGCCTGGCGTTTGCTGCCACGGCGCAGACCTCACAGAGACCGTGTCGAAAGCCCTATCCTACATTTGCTATGGTATCCGGTGATAGGCGCTAGAGGGAGCAAATCTAATCGACGGTTCAAGCATAGTTTCCGAACTGAGAGTTCCAACGTGGAGTTCCAAACCCGGCGAGACCGTGTGAAAGACAGGGGTCCCGACAAGTCGAGCAGGGGCCGTAATGATCAATCCGGATAGAAGAAAGTTTACTAAAGGTATGCAGTGCACTTCCTCTCGTTCGAAGAGCCGTTCGACCCTGATCTTCACACGGTATCAACTCGCACTTCACTCCCCTTTCTCCTGCTTGTCCAAAGCCTCAGTTCTTCTCGTTTCACTTTGCACTTTCCCCAGGCCTCATTCCATCGCGTGACTTTGGGATCTGTTGTAAGGTTCTGGTGGCCGATGCCCTGATCCACCTGCTGCCACATGCTCTCGAGGTGGCGACCAGCTTGACATTTGCGAGCTTATTATCTTTCAGACCAAAACCCTTATAGTAATCCGTAGAGTGAGCCCTTATCAACCATTCTAAGATTCTACCACTCTAGAACCTGTACAAAAGCCACGGCCTGAGTCGAACATGACAAGTCACATGAAGCATACGCGATGCTTTGGAAGTGGCCGGGTGAATCTGGAAGGCCAGTGCATGCAGGGGTGCTGTCGCCAAGTTAGTCCTGGTCAGATGTACGTGTCACGGGCTTTATGGGGCTCAATACCTTGCAGTGAGCTCAAGCTGGGGGGGAGAGGTACTGTAGAGCTGAATTGAAAGCGAGGAGCAAAGATCCCGAGAAGTCCCACTGAGTCCTACAGTTTTTTTTCACGAAGCAACCGCCACACCCCGAATGGACCCAGCAATTTCGGAGCCAGAGGGCGAGTTCAATGTGTGATGTATGGTTAACTCATCCCGTAGGTTTTTCGCCCAGTCCAGCTCTGACGCAAGACAGTCGAACCTGAGGCAAAGTCCCGTTCTCTGAATGCGTGCACCTCAAACTCAGACTACAAAAGAAAACCAGCTTGGACGACATCATTCATGTGGGAGAAAGGCCCAAGCAAGGAGTCCAGTTTGCAAGTGTTGCCGGTATCCCACCCTCCTTAAGACAATGGGCTCTGTGGTGATGTCGAGGCGAATCAACCGGCAGTCAGTTGAATATCGAGGCACGTTTAGTCAAACAACTGTAGTCCTCAATACCAGGGTGCGGACCATGGCACCATGTCCTCTGTCGGCATTTCAGCCACGGTGGGCTGCAGGGGCCTCAGCAGAGTGACGGGGATCAATGCCGCTGTGCCGCATCCGGTAACCTTTCTGGCGGTCTGTTTAAACGGCAGCGGGGGGAATAGGGATTCGAGGCCAACGTCTGGGAGAGAGGTGGGATGTGTCAGTTCAAAGTCGGCACCCCTGAAGGGAGGGTCTCACTATCTGCAGATTCAGATGCTGGCCTAAGCAACCAAAATAGGTACACTAAGCTCTACAACCTGGCGAAGGCCCTAATCCACCATCTCTTTATCACGGAAACTCAACGTTGGTCTTTTGGATTGTGAGCATGCCCCGACGTTTCCGGTGCAGGGTTGCTTCCCAGCTGATCGGCAGAGTCTGACCGCTTCATTGCTGGCGTTCCGTGGGAAAGCATCTAGCATACATGTAACAAAATGATCATTCGCGAGGCTTGGCTATATTGGCAGTTCCGGAGGTGATCGAATGGCACAATCACCGCCACGACGGTCACTCGGAGAAAGCTGAAGACATGGCTTGGGAGTCTAGGATTTGCAGAACGATGTCAATGTGAGGCTTCGCGTTCGGGTATGAAGTCTGCAGGTTGCAAGAGGCTTTGTCTCTGCCGCTTAGGAGTTTCTAGGGCTTTTGGGAGTGTCCGTGCCTTTGAGGCTTTAGATGTTTTGGAGTGCCGAAAAATAAGCTGGTGTGCTCTAGAAACCTGTTGGCACACGCTTTCAACGAATTCCGGTAGTTGTCGTCCATGTTGTCACTGCATCGATTCTGCTGCTGCGGCTCCTGCTGCTCCTCGTCCTCGTCCACCTCCTCTGCCCACGGCTACACACAACCCCCAAAGCTTCCTACTACTACTCCTACTACTGCTACTACTACTACTACTACTACTACCACCACCACTACCACTGCTGTCGTTGCAGTCATAGTGCTAGTAGTAGTCGTCGTCGTCGTCGTTGCTGGGTTTTATAGATCAGTGTTGCACGGTGTCCATCAGCAGCTGTGGAGAGCGATGCGCTAGATGCTTGAATGTTGCTTTTCCTAGAAAGTCAGATCCTGAATCCACCGGAATCCTAAAGGCCATAAGCTCCAAATCCGCAGCGAAAACCAGATTCGATGCCAGGAGCCCATGGCCATGGCCCACAAGTCGCCACCTCAGCGGCACTGTCATCCGGAGTTGCAAGATGCAAGGAAGGGAATCGAGATGCAGCCAGAGGTGCACGCATACGGTTGGGCGAATCTTGCCGGGAACTTAGCTTCTGAGACATCTGTTCGATGCTCCTCGAATCGACATCCTAGTGCTTGGCGTTCACCCTACCCAGAGTCATCGGCGTGTGTAAGTTGTGAGTATGACTGCAGTTTGCATTCAGAAGGTAAGGCACGGGATTTCCAAGGTTTTTGACTATCCACTTGGCTCCAGGTCACGGAGATGCTGCACAACTTCGTCGACGGAATCAGCCGGACGGCCCAGCCGGCAGGTTGTGGTCATTTCGCAGTGGCATAGCATGTGGGTCTCCAGGAAGCCGGCATCGATTCCCCGGAAAACAAGCAGCTTCCTAAGCCCCAAAACCCTAAGCCCTGATCGTAGCCCTGCTTTTTGCGAGAGTGACTGACGAAACCCTGATGCCTAGGGTCAGCTTGATGTGGCGTGCTGAATGTGGGGCAGGTCAGCGCAGCTGAGCGGGGATAGAGGCTTGCAGCAGGACACAGTCCCTTTCCGCCAGGCGGATTCTACCGAGTTCCAGCTCAACAACAAGGAAAACTGGTCCTCTACACTTAAGACATCAGGGACCGTTTAGGTGTCCACCAACTGGTCCTCAGGCTTTTCAAGAGAGCAACGGCACCTCTCTTGGCTGAAGTCCCAGATGGTTTGCGGCGCCTCCGAGATGCCGTCGACAACCTGCAGGAAGACGTTGACTACCTAATTGCAGGTGATGCAATGGTGTACCAG